AGAAAGGAGTTTGCTCATGGCATACAGTGTGCACCAGAGTGCCGGGGTGGAGAGCTCCAGGAGACCTCCCAGAGCAGGACAGTGGCACCTTGGGGATCCTGCCACTTTTGCTGTGACACTTTCTTCCTCCTGCGCTTCTGTCTGGCATGAAGTGGACTTTGGGTAACTCTCAAAAAAACTTCAAATTTCTGAATAAACCCTTCCCTAGTCAGCCCAGACATGACTGTGGTGAATTCAAGCATATCCCAGGTCTGTTTGCATTGCATTTTGATGTTGTCACAAAGGGACCACTGTAAAAGCAGAATGTGTTGAACCATGCAAGGTGTAGAGTCTTTAAGGATCTCTGTCTTTTTAAAATACAGACACAATGGTAGTTTCTAAAGTGAGTAAAACTGTACTTCTTCACCTGGATATTTCTGGAACATCACATTGTTCAGCTCTTTAACCACCTATTTCCTTTCAAAAGCGATCACAGTGAGCAGCCCTGCTTACTATTTCATACGCCCAGCCATTACCTTACGTGAACAGACTTGCTTCTCCCTGCTTCTATGCCTTTGGATTTTAGTTTTTAATGTGCACATCACAGATGTATACATTAACAACTGGACTAAGACCTCTATGGTTTATATATGTCCTGCCCTGCCTAACACCGTACATATGTGTTGATTAATGAGTATTAAGTGATACAGGTTGGAGAACTGTACATTTGCTGTATCCAGCATACCAGGAAAACAAATTAGAGGTAGTGTGCCTAAAAAGGTGTAAAGTACAAGAACAGGCTTACTGAAGAGGATAAAAGGACCATGTTTTCCTAATATCCTTTGTGTAGTACAATATATCAATTCTGGATCATTCCATGTAGTCCGTCCTTCCCGCTGGTCAGACTGGGGGGGGGTTCATCCAGACTTGGTGCAGTCAGACACCTGTTTATCTGAAGAAATTTCAACAGCCAAGCATTGGAGTTTTTACGAAGTTTAGGAAATGATCTTGTTTTTTCACTTTTCCATCTATTTTCTCATCCAGAACTCTTCATTTAACTAAGAAGGAAGTTTTTTCCAAACAGTGATTCCTATCATTTCATATAGATCAGTATATAAGGATGAAGTTTTAGGGGGTTTTGAGTTTGTCAGTGCGCTGTCAGTGCAAGAAGCAGTCCTCTCTGATGCAGGTATTTCTTCTGCTATGCTGTAGTCTGCTTTGGGGAACTCATTTATTTTCTGGTTTGGCTTTAGTGTAGGCTTGGGAATGGTAGCTGTGGGAGGGCTGGAACACTGCTTTTGGTGTACATCCCTAGAACTGTGGTCCCAAGTAGATGCTGTGGGAGAATGACTCGTACAATCTGTTTCTTCTCACTTAACTATAAAGGGTTAAGCGTGGTGGATCCCATCAGTTACCATGTGAACAGAAAACACTTCTATTAACCTGATTTTACAAACCAGGAGCATGTTGGTTGCATCTCCGTGATGTTGTCTGTGGCCATGTTTTTGTGTTAGGCGGGCAGGCGTTCCTTACCAGAATGAGGGGTTAAGTTGCCAGGAATTGAGGAGGAAGACCAAGACAGTGAAGCAGGTAAAATGATTTCAGGTGTCCAACTTAAAGTGCAGGAAGGTAGTGATGGAGAGTTCCACAGCACAGGACAACAGCTGGCAAGTTCGGACAACAGCTGGCAAGTTCTTTGTACATTTTTCTTTGAGTTAAAAAATAAAATAATCCAGTGGTAATGCCCATGCACAAAGCTAGAAAAAATGAGTGATAGAGCGGGGTGCATATCCAGCACATAGTGGCTGCTGTTTCTCCAAGCTGATGATGGGGAGCAAAGCAAATGATAGACATCTGTGTGGGTGAGTGGGGGAATTAGACCCAAAGGCTGGAAAGATGTTGAGATGTGGGATCTCTTGTGCAGTACAGGATCTATTTGAAGGGCTGTGTTCTGTCTAACTGCTATGAAATCAGCTGGTAGTTGGCACACTGCAGGAACTTGCTGTTTGAATTTAATCTCCCTGTAATGTATCTGAAGAATGTTTGGACTGTGTACTCCTGGAATGAGTCGTCTTGCTTTCCCAACAGTGTGCCTGTCACAAAACCAGTAGACCTTATTAGAGTGCTTCCGCTTTTGAGATGTGTAGGTCAGGCAAGTAAAATCATCTCAGATTTTTGAAGCAAAAATGGGTGTGAAGTCTCTGAAAGTCCTGAATTGCAGCAGTTTCCAAAAGAATTTTGCACAGGCTGTCAAAGGACCACGTGCAGTAACATCAAAGTTGTGTTAAAAGAAATCTGACATAGTCAGATGATGTCATCTCTGTCTTCTGTGTTCTTAGGTCTTAGATTTTTCTAAATATGATAACTGGGGATAAAGTAGCAGCAGTACTTGAGTAGGGAGAAGAAAGCCTGACGAAGTTGCTTGTTGTTTTTTTAAGAAAGTAACATCTGTTGGGGTTTTGGTTGTGTGATTGTTTGGGGTTTTTTTGGTGGTGGTTTTTTTTTTTTTTTTTTTTTTTTTAAGGGAATGCCCATAGTGGACTGTATCTTTCCATTTTAATCTGCAGTTTGATTAGTCCCACTAGAAGGTGGGTACCCTTCCTGCCTAAGGATACGGGGTGAACTACTTCACAAATGTATGGTAAAAATCATGACAGCGATGGAACAGCTTTTTCCTGGTGTGAAATCTGAATTATCAGAAGTAAAAAGCTGCTTGCAGGCTTGGTAACCACCAGAGGAGTAGCAAGTAGTAACAGTAAATTTTATCTGTGCTGTCTTCTATAGCTGTGTATGTTTCAGGTTGAGGTCCTAGGGATTGAGAGCAGCCTGCAGAGAAGGACTTGGGGGTACTGGTGGATGAAAAGCTGGACATGAGCCAGAAATGTGCGCTTGCAGCCTGGAAAGCCAACCATGCCCTGGGGTGCATCCCCAGCAGCGTGGCCAGTGGGGTGAGAGAAGGGATCCTGCCCCTCTGCTCTGCTCTGGTGAGACCCCCCTGGAGCATCCTGCTCTGGGGTCTCCAGCACAGGACAGACATGGACCTGTTGGAGCGGGGCCAGAGGAGGCCACAGAAATGGTCAGAGTGATGGAGCACCTCTCCTGTGAGGACAGGCTGAGAGAGCTGGGGTGGTTCAGCCTGGAGAAGAGAAGGCTTCAGGGAGACCTGATTGCGGCCTTTTGGTACTTAAAGAGGGCTTATAAGAAAGATGGGGACAGACTCCTTAATAGGGCTGGTTGTGATAGGACAGGGGGTAATGTTATAAACTAGAAGTTGGGGCTCTGAGCAACCTGATCCAGTTGGAGATGTCCCTGCTCACTGCAAGGGGGTTGGACGAGATGACCTTTAAAGGTCCCTTCCAACCCAAACCATTCTATGATTCTATGAAGCTTGACATGCAGAGAAGTTGTGTGTTTCACATCTCTTTAATTGTTGTGTTTTTCTTACAAAGCTTCCAATAATGAGTAAATTGGTGCAGGACAGACCACAAGGATGCTTCAAGTAACTTTTTTCCTACATAAAAACACGTAACTTTCACATACTGATTTGGATTTGGCAATAGAGACTGTGAGCGTTGCTCCTGGTGTAAGAGGAATACGGGGGCTATGTAATTCACATTGATTCTCTATTGGCAGTTAACTGTGTTGGTAGGTGAAAACTAGATGACGATGCCTGAATTTGTGAATCCCCTGTGCATAAATATGTAAGAGGACACCCAGGAGGAAACATGGGACTGGCAAAGCCACACTGATCTCAAGCAAAGACAGATTTCTTCCTGATGCACAAAGCCTTTGCTTGTGTTAGCGGTGAACACTTCTCTGTTCCAAACTGAGACCACAAAACCTTTGGCAAGAAAAAAACCACAATCAGACTTTAATGCCAAAAGACTGGGGATGATTGCGGTTACTTACAGAGATAGGATTGCTGGTGAAAATGGAGATGTAATGTGTAATTAAACATATATTTGCTTGTTCTACTTATGGTTCAATCCTGTCATTATAACTCAGCCAGTGGTAGGTGTGTTACTACTGTCTGGAAGATGATGTCTGATGGCAGAATGAAAAGAGAAGAAAAAGCTGTGTAAAGTGTTGGGTTTTTTTTGTGAATTAGTTGTCTAAACAAAATAAGATAGTTTTGAAATGATAGTTCATTGAACAGCAATCAGAAGTTAGGCTCCAAAAAGGTTAAAACTCATATTTTTTAGTATGCAAGTGCCTGGTCCCTTTTACCTACTAATAATGTTTTAGCTTCCGCTCTCATCTCGTCTCATAATCCCTGAAGAATATTTATGATGCCATGTGAATTGAGTTGGCTGGTAAGTTATCTGTCTTTATGCCTCTGGTTTGATTGCAGGCTTTTCTGAAAATATTTAATGCCCAGCACTTCATTTATGCTCAGTCTGGTGCTGCGGCCTCTGCGGACTTACTGGTGTACTAAAATTGTATCATGGTATCAAGTGAATTGGATCCTGGATATGCTCTTAAATTTATAAAAACTTGCAAAATACATGTTTACCTGTGTGCATCCCCGCCTGTGTCACTGCTGTGGGTCACAGCCTGCAGGGAATTGCTGCTCCTCGCCTTCTGACAAATGCATATGTCAACTGATGTTTTGCAGAACAGTAAGCAGCGGTTCTGATCACCAATGTTGATCACGTCATGGTTCTTGTGCTGAGTACCATGTTCTTAAACTTGTTATCATAATGCCTGGTATAATCAAGCTATACTTCACCACTTAAATCAAGCTTAATTTTAGGCCCGTGCTTTTTGACTTGAAATGTTTCAGGCAAACCTTTGTTTTGACATATTTATAATTGCTTCTTGCCATTCTGCACGCAAATTTCAGTTGTATCCTGATCTAAGAAATCTTAGCATTCCAGTAGATGGCTCTTCAGTGTCCCTTTTGCAACCCACATTGGGGGAAAAAAAAAGTGACAGATAGAGAAATGGGACAGAAGATTATAGGAGTCTAGTTTCTTTTCAATATTTACTGTTTCATTTTTTCAATATTTTTCCCTTTCTAGGTGTTTTCTAGGTTTCCTGGACATAGGCTCTGTCCCTCTCAGCCTCTTGTGGTTCATCGTGTACTCCAGTCAGGACTCTCAGAAGGCTTGACTCATATTTACCTTATAGCTTAGAACTGCTTCTCCTTGCAAACATCTAAAAAAAAAGGGGGGGATGATGACACTGAATGATGTTTCACTTTTTCCTGGGTTTCTCTACTTTTAAATCAAAGTGTTTAGGGAGCTGGGTCTTAATTAGCTTTTAGTGGAGGTGAGAGAGAGAAGTAGCTGTGTAACTGCCCATTATATTTACCTGCAAACACCTTTTTGGGTGTCACTCGAGCCGTCTCGGTGCCTTCTAAGATACCTGTTGTTTGCAACGTTCACATGGAATATTTGTCATGGTAATGCCATGCAACAAGGAAGGCAGAGCAGGATGAAAATCAGTTATATTCTCCGAAAGGGAGTTCAGCACCTGCTTTTTTAGCCTGTGATTTGGGTTGAGAGAAGGAGAATTGAAAAGAATAGTTCTGGTATTTTGTTCATTGATCATCTGGTGAAGAACTGTACAGCACTGCATCGTCTGGATAGAGAAGGGCAGACCTTTGGGAGCTGAAGATTGGTAAGACACTGATGCAACTTTATTTTTGCTGGCCTTGGCGTCCCTTGCAATGTTAAGTTTGCTTTTCTAGCTTGTTTTTTCTTCTGATGTTTTGTTGGTGTTACAGATGGGAGGTATTAGCATGTTCTTAACAAGAACAGCAATCAAAAAACCTCCTTTCACCACCCCCAACACACAGACGTTTATGAGAAGATGGAATTTTTTCAATAAAGCCGTTGCTGTGGGTGTGATACGGAGCCGGGGCAGGGACCCCCGCGGGGGCCTGCATGGGGGCATTGAGGTCCTGGACTGAGCTGGTTGTGCTGGATTATCGTGTGTCAGGTCCGGTAGAACAGTGTTAACGTCAGGACACTCACAGAAGCGTCCAAGCTGTTTGCAAAGTGGATGTAACTCGGAAAGCAGCATGGTCATACTCACCGTGTGTGTGATTGCAGAGGGCTGGACCTCAGGTAGCTTGACCTCTGCCTGCAGCTTCTCCTGCTGTGTTCACAAATGTCTCAGGCCCCACACCCATGCCTCCTTTCCCGTTTCTCTCAACAGCCTGGTGAGAGGGAAGTTCCTGATCTTGCCAAAACCCAAACCCAAGCAAACAAAAAAACCTGTAGCTTTACTTGCAGCTTTTCAGCTCTTGATAAGTTTTGCCACAGAGGCCTGTGCTTGTCTCTTCGTGCTTCCTCCCTGTGTGTGACCCTTTCCCCTTTGGGCTAGGATCCTTTTCCCCTTTTTATGTTGACTTCTCAGAACTTGGTCTTCCAGCCTCCTACCCATCTTGTGTTTACAATAAGTAAAATGTTTTCAGTACTCTCATTACCTTTAGTGGGTTTTCGTCCACGGATAGTGGCAGAGCCTCCTGACGTTACCTGGAGCCTTGGTTAATGCCAGCAGTAGGTAACATCTGAGGTGTTTGAGCTGTTTGAGGTGATGCTGCTTCATTGATTCCAAATACCTTCCTGTTCTGTTGAAGTCTTCCCACCTCTGCAGTGTTGTTATCGTTGTGTTGCTGAGTGCCAACTCAGAGGAATTTCCATCTTCCAGACCAGTACAAGAGGTAGCAGAAAGGATGAAACCAAGCCTTTATTGGCTCTGGGGTTTTGCTCTATTGTACGAGCCCTAGGTAGGGTAATCTTGCTTTTTGATGCAAATAACACTTCTTGTGACCTGAGAGTTTAGTTAGGTCCAGAGTTCAGCTTGGTTTGAGTGAGTTTTAGAGCTTTATACCTACACACTGGCAGCAGAAACCCATCAGCCATTGTTATTTCTGGAACATTTAATTTGCTGGTCAGATCCATTTGAGGCAAGCATTTTTCTTCTAGATCCTTTGATCTTTGGTCTCTGGCCTCTGCTGGATCATCAGCCTGGCTTTACATATGTCTTTTGATCTCTTTAGGATTCAAGAAATGAGGATTTTTTTGGTTTCATTCCTTTTTTAGGGAAATAGCAGTTGTGGTCACAGCTGTCGGATAGCTCTTGACTCTTAAAATTCGTAGTTTCTCCAAGACTGGTGGTAGTTCTGTATTCGCTGCGTTTGGCCATTGGGCTTAGAAGATGCTCTCGGGGGCGTGTGGGAGTGCACTGTCTCCGCGGTGGCACCTTCTCGATGATACCTTGACAGGTATCATCGCTTCAACTGGCATAGGCAACAAGAAACGTGTGAGGAACATGGATATTTATTACCAAGAACTGACCTCAGACAAATTGGTGTTCAGAGACTAAAGCATGAAAATAGCTTAAATCAGCTCTGACAGTGTCACGTCTCTTATCAGTGAGCTGAAGCAGTACCTCAGGTAACTGTCGCCTGCCTTCTCGCTTCCAGATTCAGTCCTGATTTCTAGTTTATAGACAGTTGTACAGGTACAGGGAGTTAAGCTTATTTTGAAAAACTGATGGGCATTTTCCCAAGGGATTCAGGATGTTTGATGGTAATGTAAAACAGTTTACTTGCTTTTTTTGCTTACCTTTGGCTTTACACTCCCAGAGAGGCAGGAGGGTAACCTAACACCTTCTCAGTCTCATTGCAGCTTCTTTAAACTACGTCTGTATGTGACAGTTGATTAGCTATTTACATATTAATATTACTAACTAGCAATCTCAGTGGAGTTCTTCACCACATTAATGAGGAGGGCAGCAGAGCCTTTCCTGAGGTTGAGAAGTCTGTTTTATTCCTGTTATTTGCAATAAAGGGAGACCTCATTTGCTGCTTTTGTACCTGCTAAATGCCAGCTTCCTCCTTTCCTTGGTGCAGGGTTAGAGGACGTGTGCTCTGTTATAATAACTTTCTTCTGTTTGAAATGTAATTATTTTTACTCTCATCCGTTTTTAGATGATGAAGGATAGACACTGCGATGGGCACTAAAGCACGGACTTGCAGTGTGTGAACTCTGACAGCAGGTACTTGTGTCTAGTCCCGGTGGCCTGATGTGTCTGGGGAAGGCTTAGGTGCCATGTGTCTCTTGGCCATGGCTTTTCTGTGCTCGATTTATTAATTTCAGTGTTGATAGAAGCATTTGTCTCCGTTTATAGCATATCCAAGAGCTGTGCTGCAACAGAGGAGGTAAGTTTAGAGGGGGGGCGGAGGGTGGGTTGGCAGCCAGGCACTCAGTAGTTAATCTGTTCTGGTTTTTCCTGATAGAATCCTTAAAGTTTTATGGGCCGGTGTTGGATTGATCAGATGGCTGCTGAAACCATAACAAAATGCAAGAAGCATTGGGGAGGAAAAGAGAACAATTTGAGAATTAGATATTTTTTTTTTTAACCCTTCCTGAAGCTTTTTTTTTTCGTCCTTTGAGATACAGACCCAGGTGCAAAGTCTCCAATCTGTTCAGTGAGGTATTTTTTCTGTTCATGTTCCTGACTGAGAATTACTGTCTGTGTAGTGCTTGTTGCTAGTAACTGTTGAGTTGCTGGTGCTCATTTGTTCTCTGCTCTGAGCTCAGCTGAGCATTGCTCTCTGCTGGTTGCTATTAGCCTCACTTTAAAGACAAGAATTCCTGGTTTTGGTCAAGTTTAGGTTGTGTTTATTCTGAAACCTAGTGAAAGCGTTAGCTAATATATACCTCGACTCTCTGATTTGGGTTATAAAGGACTTGGCTGTGAATCTTGTTTTGACAGGTAATTAAGTCTCTGGATTTCTTCCTTAGGTAACCCAGCAAGTAGTCTGATATGCTTTGCTAGGTAGAACCGTGTGTAGGCAACAAGGTTTTATTATTCATGGGGAAAAATGTAGTAGAAGAATTTGAAATCTAGATCACCTGGAATTAAAATAAATAAAGTTGGGACATACAGCATCTTAACACCACAACTGAGAAGAACGATGTAGAAATTCTTGCATCTGCGTCTTGTTTTAATTGTCATTAAAACTGCATACAATCTGTGCTTTTGCAGTAAATGTAAAACATACCATGGATTAGGCAGCATCTAGAAGAACCCCAGCATCTGCCTGTTGTGGCAAGGGACATGAGCAGTGCCTCAACTGCATTAGCAGTTCCAGGTGGGTGTGTTACGTGTATTTGCAGTCTCCTCTCTTGTTCTATGCAGTGTACTAGAAACTGCACATGCCTTGTATAATTTGTTTCCTACCCGATCCTCTTGTAATGTCCAGTTTTTCTAATAAACATCTTTTGAAGTGATTGCTTTGTGACTGTTTTCCAAGGGCCTGAGTGTTCTCATGTGTTGCTTGTCCTCAGTGACATATTCCCTTTGGATCACTCAGGGAAGAGGAGCAGAGAAACTCAAAATTGCTTCCTTTGGGTGGGAACTTTCTCTGGTCCTAAGTGTTTTCGTGGAGTGTCCTGATGTTTCAGATCAGATGGAAAACCATTTTAAGCAAACCTGATGAAACTTCTCATGAAGCAAAATTAATTCTGAATGTTTGTTTGGAAAAATGATGATGAAACAAATGGGAAGTTGCCATCTTGCGATTTTATTCCTGTGAAGTGCCAAGCCCCGTGGGAAGCTTCAGCCACATAAAGTTAAGAGTTACCTCACGCTTACATGAATACCAAGGGTTTGGCTTCATCCTGGCTTGTCAGTTTTTGTTTCAGAGGAGGAGAGAGCGAGATGCACCCAGTGGTCTTTAATGTGTTTAAACGGTGTTTGCAATATTCCTTCATTTGACTGTTTCCAGGCAGCAGGGGGAAGGCGCCCGCATGCCTGCATAGATCTGTTGTCAAGAGGTGAGAATCTGTGTGTGCGCATGTGTGTATTTCCTTAAAAAATCCCTTTCCTCTATGAAAGTGTTCTGGCATGTCATGTAGTTCAGTTTGGCTTTGGTTTTCATTTCAGCTGTGCAGACATTACGAGAATCACTCAGAAAGACACTTTTTTTTTTTTTTCCCCATGCTTAATCCTTTTTACATGCAGTGTTGTCCTAGTATTGCTGAGCAG